TCGCCTTTTGCCCATGAAATTTGACGATACCCCCGGTTTTCGACAGCCCGCGACGATTGCGATCGCGACCGGAATCGTACCCATCAACACCAAGCACGCCCGCACGATCACAAGCAACAACTCCTCCTGCTCTCCCACCGCTGCCGCTACTGTCGCCACTCCTGCCATCTTATTATGCTACCGGAACGGCATCGATTCACATGCCGTCACTGCCGCATCGCCCAGCGCTGGCTCCCCGTGACGGCATATCCAGCTTTGCGTCAATTCAAAGCTCCGACTCTTACTACAGTAACGAAGGTGAGGAAAACCGGGACTTCCTTCCACATTCACAGCCTCTATAGACGAAATGAGAGCCATCGAATGGCTTTGCGACTGACGCAAAATCAGAAATTGCCATCCTCCACGATGTCGTCACGGCTGCCCAGGATAATCTCGATCTCCTCCCCGAGGGTGAGAGGTTGGCGACGAACGCTCTGTTTCAGGCATACGACGCCGTTCTCCCAAAATACGGTATCGACCCCGAGGAGGACCATCACATCTCGCGCTTGGTCTTCCGAGTCGGCGGCGAGCGCGGCGACGGTTCACTTTTGGATAAACTTCGCAAGGTTTTGGCGAGGATGGGTATTGAGCTGGAGTTCGACAGTCGCAGCGAAGGTTCGAGACCGCTTTCAGACCCAGGCGATGAACGAGACCATGAATTCCCGTTGCAACCGTCACCTCCTCACTCCAATAGCGAACATAACTTTGCTACCACGGACGATAGCTCTTCGGAGCATATGCAGCCACCACAGCAGGGGCGCTTCAGGCCGATCACTGCCCCAGACGAGGCAATCCGTAATGGCGACTGTGCAAACCTCCAAAGGCTGATGCCCATACTTCCAAGGCCAAATCACCTGGCCCCTGATCTCTCCGAACGCTTAAAGCACTCATCCCAAAGTCACTCGCCATCCACAGCTGCGGGTACGGAGCCGAGTCACCAGAGCCCACGGTCAGTGACTGGCTCCAATGAGCACCGTGGAGCTAGCGACACCACTATTCAACCCGTTGAGACTGTTGCCCACGATGCGGGAAAGAACGTCAGCATCGCTGCTTCCCGTCCTGTCCGACCCAAGTCTGTTAGGACAGTCAATTGGCTTCTGCCAGAGGACGTTGGAGCCAGGCCTATTGTGGATGGGCACGAAATTTTACGGGCGGAGCAAAACATCCATTACGAACCGTTTCCAGCGCAAGGCGAACAGCGTCCACTAAGAAAAGACCAGCCACAATTCTCTCCTGGCCAAACCATGTCTCATGGCCAGTACCCTCAACACGAGCAGCCCCAGCAATACTTGCCCCAGCAGGGCAATCTACACCAGCAACAATCTGTAGCCCAGAACGACATACATAACCTCCAACATCAACAGTCCCAACATTACGCTCTACCCCAGCAATCCAATGCGCCTCAAAGCCCGCAGCAGCAACAACAGCAACAGCAACAGCAACAGCAGCAACAACAACAACAACAACAAAAACAACAGCAGCAGCAACCGCAACGGCGACAGCTGGTGTACATTGACGAAACCCCCAGAAATGAGGTCAGCGGTCGTCAGCCAAATATTTCGACAGTCGTCCAGCACGAGACCAGCAAGCGGCCCAGCATCGACACAAAGGTTCTTGGGCAGGAGTCGTCTAAGATCGAACGACATCAAGTACTGCAACAGCAGCAGCAGGAAGTAGCGCCAGTTCCACAAAAGGAACCTTCTGGTGACAACGTCCTACTTACTAGGCAAGCCACACCTCCCGATGAGGGATTGGAAGATGACCTAGCGATGGAAGCACGATACGCCTGGCTGGAAAAACGAGCGGCTCGAGCGGCTCGTTACCTGCAGATTCTCAGAGGAATATCACATTGGGAGACCTACGCAACCGAGAAGCGTGAAAGAACCGCCGTAGCCAGACGGCATATTTTGCGCATGCGCCACTTTGACCCCTGGGAGTTGGTGACAGCAGACGCCAAGCTCAAGGGGCGTCGTATCTTTACTTCCCGCTTGCTGACTCTTTGGGTGAGGTGGGCTGACGACGGTGTTGTCATGGAGCAGCGGGCTGTAACACTATCTGCACGCCGCATAGCTGGAAGAATTCTGGCCGCCTGGTCTGGTTCATGTTCAACGGTCACGAGGTTGTTGGTTCGGCCCCAAATACAGGCTCTCTGTCTCCAGCAATGGGGATTGTCTTGCTCAGCCTTGCGCGTGATTTCTGCACACACAGAAGAACACAGGACCAGAATTCGGTGGTCTCTTGCCTTCAATTCCTGGCACCAACAGATGCGATGTCACCAAGACGGCGTAGCAACTCATCGGCGTCTCAGTGTCGTCCGGAACTCCTTAGACCATTGGCAACTAGAGACAAGGGTCGAGATCTTTCGTGCAAAGATGGGGTTCAATCTGGTACGCGATACCATATGCAGATGGCACAACGCATGTCGACTACCGCCACACCGAGTTGCACCTGGGTATAGCGGCCACAGAAGGCATAACAAGGACCAAGCCGATCCTAAGCTGCCACAGACACCCCATGGCATGCATTCCCCTCTGGCCAATTCTCATAGATTGCTCAAGACAAAGGTTTTAGACATCTGGCATCGGCAAGCATTGGACATGGTTCGGTTTAGTAAGAGATCGCGAACCTCTGCTAAACGTCAAGCGGCACGACACGTGGTCGGTACCTGGCAAGCTGGCATTCTGCATGGCTCAAATCTGTATACATGGACCCAGCGTGGTTATTTTTTCGCCAGGGTCAACGCAGTGGTGAGAACCTGGCGCTCAAAGGGGGCCTGGAGATCTCAAACGCGAAGGTCTTACGCACGATGCAGGCAACATGTTAAGGCCACCTCAACGAAGGAAAATCTGAGTCGCTGGAAGTCATTGGCTCGAGTGCATCGCAACCTTGGCTGGGAAGCGACTAAGCACCACAGCATGGAGAAGCGGGATCGTGCTGCTGGTTTCTTGGACGTTTGGTATAAGGACAGCAGCCGCGATCGGGGTGCTTCCAGGCTCCTTACAGCCGCATGGCTCGGCGAGTGGCATATCATTTCGCAAGACCATGCAAGCGTGCACGGTCGCTCGAAGGAAGTCTGGCAGGAGACCTTAAAAATGCGATACTGGGGTCAGTGGCAGTCTACGGTACTTCAACTAAAGAGCAGGGAATATGTTGCCACAGATGTCAGAGAAAGGAATAAGAAGCAGCTCGTTCGTCGTCTTCTTCACCATTGGAAAGGAGATGAAGACATGACCAGGTCACAACATTTGAGCGCGATGAGAGCAAGCCTTGGGAGCTCACGGAAGGGCACTGGACTCGGCATGAGTCGCCAGTCTTTCCAGCTATCAAGGACAGTACACGAGCGGCCGGGGACAGGGCTGTTCAGAGCCTCGAAACGCCAAGAAATGGGCCCTACGGTTGAAGAGGAGGAGGATCAAGATGGGGGAGGTTCAGGAGCCGACGCGGACGGAGTCGTTGTGAGCACACCAACACGTTGGACAGGGATGGCATCCTCGGTGCAGTTACCATCCATGACACCATTTGCTCCTTTGCCAACGCCGTTCGAACGTGAGCTTCGAGAGCGGTACAACAGGAGTGTGCCACCAGCCCAGGCTAGTCAGTTGAGCAGGCTCTCTTTCGCACAGGCCCAGAGGCTTTCCACAGCCGACATGAGTATGCGACGGGCAAATGGCGGTCGGCCTGGGGCGCTGGGTCAAGTAGATTAAAGAGGGTTGGAACTCAGGCTACGTAATATGGCTTCTGATGGATATTGACGTCGTGTGTTGTCTTGGAAAAATGTTAACTAGTAGACCCGACTGATTTGAGTAAAGACGTATGATCTGGGCTAACGTGCATTGTACCACCTGGGACGCGCAAATATCGACATTGCATGTCACGGCAGGCCGTCAAAAAAGAATAATAATAGAAGGGGGAATAGGAGGCAAGTTAAAACGCATACTTTCCGACTCTGGAAAATCCGCGACAAAAGCACTTGCCCTCGTTGACAGGCATTGGCCAACCGTGGCTCAGATGGTCATTCTCCAACCTGGCGTCATTATCCAACGTTATCTTATCGCTGCAAGCTTCCCCGAGACCCGTCACCACATATAGCTACGTACCTTGCCTCTCCCTGCCTTGCCTTCCCTTACTTTGCCTTACCTTGGTGCCGACCTATTCGAGGTCGTACCCCTCCGTGCCCTCTAAAGATCGCTATCTCATTTGTTCCCGACAGAGCTCCTAGGAGACTGACCTGTCCTTCTTTGCATGAACCTTACGCGTCTCAGAACCCATTCAAAACGCGCCGTATCCAGTGTCTTTCATCTACGACCTCTGCCATCGCCCGCCCCAACATTTCTCTGCGCCTTGCCGATCAAGTTTCCGTCGGCGACGGGCAACGACCGCGATCTGCTTACCCGAGCAATGCTGCTGCGAGTCTCGGGCTAGTAGGATGAGAGCAGTCCTCCCAGGCAGGCCCAAATCTGGGCTCTACGCTCTTGCGACGGGCTTCTGGGACTCGAGGCACTTCAACGTGAGCCATTGGCGCCCTCGCTTACTCCTATTTCGCTGATATGCGTCCCTGTAGGTCTACATCACGGGCAGCGCGTTCACCATCCTGTGCGATCCGGGCACCATTGTCCAAACCGTCTACGACGAAGACCCAGCTCATCTGCAAGCCGTTGCATTCGACGAGTGGTCTGGAAAGATCGCAACTTGCACCGATTCCGTCATCAGAGTTTACAAGCCATTTGGACAGTCAGAGGACGCTTTAAAGGTAGTTCTCCGATCCAGCCCTGGACTAGCTTGCTCTGGCTCTGCAGACTGTGCTCTGTAGTTTGAAGCGGCCCATCGCTAATCCTATGTGTCTGCGATAGTGGGGACTCCAGTCTTCGTTCCTTATACCCGACCTTGGAGATGCTATCGACAATACCATTTTGAGCTGGGGCACATCCGAAGAGCTCCTCGTAGCTCATTCTGTCCTTTGCATGTATTCGACGGCCGACGAGCCAAACAGCATATGGACGAAAACCCTTCCGAGCCCCTCCAAGCTTGCAGAAATATCCTACGATTCGGCGTACATCGCCTCGGTTGGCTTTCACGACCGCCTCGTCAAGGTGTGGCGCCGTCTCACGTACGGCGCTGAAGACGTGCGCTTCGACTTGGCCTACCTGCGACACCCAGATATTGTGACAAGTATCCGATGGCGAAAACCTTATCATATCGAACAAACTGTCCAAAATGTGCTTTATACTGCATGTGTCGACAACAAGATTCGCATTTGGACGGGGTCCGACCCCCATGCCCCCCAGCAACTGAATCTGTGGGGGACCATTGATCTGGCTTCGGCATTCCGGGAGCAGAGTCTCAGGACCGTGAGCCCCCCTACAACATTTCTGGCCTTCATCATCGACGGCAGGGACATATCCGCTGCTACGGAGCTAGCTGTACAACGCAACCCGATTCAGCACGGAGAACAAGATAACGCTCTTGAGCACCTGATTTCCCTTGCAAATAAGAGCCCTGAGCTATGTGTCGCCTTCAACGGTGCTGGGGAAACGGCTGTCTTTGTATTAGAAGACGTAGGGTCTAAATCCAGCAAGTCCACGGCCGCGAACTTATCTCGATTCAAGCCGCAAGACCTCGAATTTATGTGCAGCCAGCACGTTGTGGTACAAAGTTATTGTGACCGGCGGACTGGGCGACTACGTATCTTGTTTCACGACTTTGAGGGCCAAATACATGTTTACGAATCTGACTTGGTGGACTTCCTCAGCCCGGCCGCCGACCATAATTGCCTTTCTCGGCAATGTATGTGGTCTGGGCACTCGGCTCCTATCAAGAAGATGGTCCGAAATTTTAGCGGGCGAGCAGTGGTTTCCAGGACAGCGGAAGGCGAAAGCATCGTCTGGACTCATAACGGCAACACCAAATCAGGATTATCGCGACAGAGTGTCATTCCAGGTAGTGGACATATTCACCGCATATGTGTTCTCCGAAAAGGCCGCTTTGTCATTTTTCTGGAGCATAACACCATAAATCTCTGGGATTGCCGGTTGCCAAAGGCCATGTTGTTGGCACGTCAGTCCTATGAGATTGCTGGCAAGCCTCTGTGTTTGGTGATACTGCCTAGGCAGCCACACGAGGAGTACGCAGTAGCCCATATTGCAACTGTCACCTCGGAACAGCAGGGTCTCGTTTGGAAGGTCAATCTCCCGCAGTATTCACGCCGAGGGTCCGAAACTTGTGTCAACGGGCGCGATGAGGGTTCGATACAGGAGTACTGCAGGTTTCAACTTGACAATATCGAAGGTCTTGCCTACGTCTTGCCTGTTGACCCGGCAGGCTCTGCACCTGTTACATCCGGCTTTCTTGACGTCTTTGCTAAGGATATTGCTATTTCCTACACGCATTCTGGGCGGGTTGATTTCTGGACAGCCCGTGTCGACTATACAGAAGACAGGGTTGGATGGCTTTCAACGTGTTCAGCCGAAACGGGACTTTCGGAGCCAGCGTTGGTGAGCGGCAGTACACTCAAGAAAGCGGCACTTGTCGATTCAACCAGGTCCCAGCTATCCATTTGGGACATCGGAGCTGCTCGACTCGAATTCACACAAAACTACGGAACTAACAACATAATTCAGGACCTTGACTGGACATCCACTCCAGACTCACAGTCAATACTGGCGGTGGGCTTCCAGTCCAAGGTTGTTCTATTATGTCAGATGCGTTTTGACTATCTCAATAAAGGACCGGCGTGGGCTGCTGTGCGAGAGATCAGCATTCGAGAGCTCACTCCCCATCCCATAGGCGATTCGACCTGGCTTGGTGATGGGCATCTTGTTATCGGTTCTGGCAACCAGATGTTTGTTCACGGAAGAGAATATGATCTTTCTGGCTCGTTGGTAAAGAGCTTACAACTTCCCCATAGAAAGAATGGCGTATGGGATTTATTTGAAGCTGTTCAACGATTTAATGGTCCACTGCCAATCTTCCACCCACAGTTTCTGAGTCAGAGCATTCTTGCAGGAAAGAGTATAGCGGTGCGAAAAGTGCTTATGTCTTTGTACAAGACACTCAAGTTTCACGTCGCAGATGAACCCATCGACGACTACCTTGGACTCGATCCATCTGAGTTTTACCAGGACGAGGTACCAACCTTCCTTTAGCCAAAAGGCATCTCATTGAGCGCTGACTGAAGAAAATGGCAGGCATCAGCAATGCATGCGTCCGGATCGCAAATTAGTTCTCACTTTGATTACCAGGCAGCTGCGGATGAAGAGGACGAAAACTTCACTGAAGACGTTGCTTATGCAATCAACGAGCGGTTGACCAAGGTCGATATTGAACAGCTCTCTGGGCATGAGCAGATCCAATTGGCAGACATTGTCGAGTGTGCCGGGCTCGTTGAGAAACAACGTAGATCTTTGGATGAAAATGGCGCTCGCTTTATGCTCTTCTTCCGCCAACATGCCCTACGGAAAGGGCGGACGAGCGAAATCCAGATGTCCTGGAGAGAGATCAACTGGGCCTATCATTCCACGAGCCAGGACGTTCTCGTTGACTTTGTCACGAAACAGTGTCACAGCGGCATTCGCTGGGAAGACGCGAAAGAAAGCGGCATGTTCATGTGGCTGGGTGACCGCAATGCGTTGGTAAGAACACTAATCAGGTGATGCGTGACCACCCCCGAAGCTGATTGAGTTACAGCGAGCGCAGTTTGAAAATGTTGCTCGAAACGAATACACCAACAGTGACGCGAAAAACCCGGTCGATTGCAGTCTGTATTACTTGGCTTTAAAGAAGAAAACGGTGCTCCAGGGTCTGTGGCGCATGGCATACGGAAATCGTGAACAGGCTACGACTCAGCGCTTCCTCGCGAACAATTTTGATGATCCAGTGTGGCGAACAAAAGCCCTCAAGAACGCATATGCTCTGCTCAGCAAGCGTCGGTTCGGTGAGTACTTGCGTGTGCACATTTGCAGCCGCTCACGACTTGCTGACGTTTGGCCCAACAGAGTACGCGGCCGCATTTTTCCTCCTGGCGGATCATCTTCAGGACGCCGTCAATGTTTGTCTTAATCAGTTGCGGGATCTCCAGCGTGCAGTTGCCATTGCAAGGGTTTACGAAGGAGATCAGGGACCGGTTCTAAGAAAGCTATTGGAAGAAGAGGTGCTTGCTCTGGCGGCCAGGGAAGGCAATCGTTGGCTCGCCTCTTGGACTTTCTGGATGTTAAATCGCAAAGACATGGCTGTAAGGGCCTTGATTGTGAGTTATTGCTTCCTCCCAACAGCTAGCCCCGGCGTGTCTGATCGATTACTAACCACGTCTGGATCCTTGGCACAGTCACCCGTTTATACCTTGATCGAAACACCATGTACCCCTGACATGCAATCGAAGTTGTTCCTCACAGACGACCCGGCTCTAGTGGTTTTGTATGCCCAGCTGCGACAAAAGACGCTGCAGACGCTTCGCGGGGCCTCCAAGGTCACTCCTCGCGTAGAATGGGAGTTTGTGCTACATAGTGCGAAGCTTTACGACCGAATGGGCTGCGACCTACTCGGCCTAGATCTCGGTATGATTGAATGCAACATTGACATGCGGATACGAGAAACTAACAAAATGGCAGTCCGTAATTGGGAGTTCTTGAAATCCGCCATAAGCAAAACGAACGGGTTGGGCGGCGAAATCAATCCGCTGAAGCTATTGCGTCGCCGTAGTTCATTGGTCGTTGCAGATCTCCCAATGTCGACTCTTCATGTGGAGATGAGATCTGGCGTGAACAGGAGCAAGGATTCAGCGCCGACAGTCTTCCAAGAGCCGGACTCAAGCTCACTGCTTGATAGCTTCGGTTTCTAATTGTCGGCGTGCGAACACGGGCCACGTGGTATAAAGGGGGGATCCGCCGGGCTCCACGAACCAGGAGGGCGAGGCATTCACATAGCGAAAATCGAGTTGTAGATTCATCGTTTTAGCATCTACAACGCGTGCAATATTAGAAACGAACGCATGCCGCGTCAGGCTGTCGTTAAAGCAGCCTTGACCAACTCCGATCACTTACTTGGTAGACGAGGGACCAATCATGAAGATTACTAAGCCACACAGCAAGAGCCCGCACGTCACTTTGCCGAGTTCCGGGCCGGACTAGCGTGGTGGGCGGGCATAATCTTAATGTAAGGATGGGCCTTCAACACGTCGCGACGTGCTTCAATTCTGACCAAGCACGGACAAACTTGGGAGTTTGGATCAAAAGATAAGCGATCCATTGTGGATACGAATCCGGATTACCCATGCCGTTTCGAGGATCTCTCCTGCACGGGCAAGGGTTGCGACCGTACTTTATCTTACTTGATTGACTTCACCACAGAACAGTACGGAGTCATATCTGCCCGCTTTGGACTTCATTACCCCTTCCTCTGGCTCTTCCGTAGTCACCGTTTGCAAACAACCTGCCACCACCTCATGCATGATTTCGCCGCTGAGGGAGCGCTTCAGACGCCGGGTTGGTTAGCAAATTGACATCGCCATCATCATACCCTTCAGCCACGTCGACGATACCCTCGTACCGAGGCACTTACGTGGTTTTCATCGGCTCCCATCAGTTCTCCGCACCATAGGCTGTCTTTCTATCCACCAAGGAAAAGTGACGGCTACCATGGCTCCAAATCGGGGTTATCACGATGGCCAACTTGTTGTTGACGCGACACCCGCTGGCGGCAACAGCGGCGGAGACTCTTTCAAGCAAAGTCCGACCATACAGGGCCGCAGTTTTACGATCCGCGGCGTTGTGGTCGGTCTGCTCGTCGGCCTGGTCATCTGCTTCTCAAATATGTACTTTGGATTGCAGACGGGCTGGGTGAGCACCATGACCATGCCCGCCAGCCTGATGGGGTTTGGCATTTTCAAGGCGCTCGCGCGTCACTTGAAGTTTCCATTTAGCCCTGTCGAGAACGTCCTTGTTCAGACTGTTGCGGGGAGTATGGCCATTATGCCTCTCGGATGTGGCTTCGTCGGTGTTGTATGTCTTCCCGTCATCATAAGCAAAGAAAAGCTTTCGCCATCTTGCAATAGGTCAAGTCATCTATTGCAATGGTTTAGCACAAGTAGACACGGCTGAACATGAATGCAGATCCCCGCCATGAACTACCTTCTCACGACCGATGAGCAAGGGCCACTCCATATCAGCTTATGGAAGTTGATCCTATGGTCCCTAGGTCTATGTTACTTCGGTGTCGTTTTCGCCGTTCCTCTGTGAGACAGCCCCAATGATTCCTTCCACCTTCGGGTTGTACTCGCTTTCTTTTTAACACTCGTTAGACGTCGGCAGGTCATCATACGCGAAAGGCTGCGCTTTCCGAGTGGCTTCAGCACAGCCGTACTCATTGGCGTGCTACACGGACAGACACGTATCTCAAATTCAGGCGGGTCGGAAGACACTGTAGCTGGTGGGTTCGCGAGTCTAGTGCCGGGCCCTGACGAGGCGACTGTCATGGACAACAGTCGCACCGCTACAGGCGCAGATGCCGAACATGGCCGCATCGCAGGGTCGGAACCTGATGTTCATCAGGACTGGGCCGGGAACATGAGGTTGCTGCTGATTTGCTTCGGAGTCTCGGGTCTCTATACGCTTTGCTCTTACTTCCTACCCAGCCTGCGCAACATTCCCGTCTTTGGGACCGAAGCCGCCAGCATCTGGCTGTGGACACTGAATCCGAGCCCTGCTTACATAGGGCAAGGAATCATTATGGGACCCGAGACCACCCTGCATATGCTTCTGGGTGCAGCAGTGGGGTGGGGTATTCTTTCACCTCTGGCCAAATACAATGGATGGGCACCTGGCTCGATTGATGACTGGGAGACTGGAAGTAAAGGCTGGATCGTATGGGTCTCGTTGGCTATTATGCTTGCTGATGCCGTCGTGAGCCTTGGTCATATTGCCTTTCGGCCACTCTGCCATCGGTTGAGTATTTTGACTGGCAATACGTTTTCGCAACGAGTATTGCGCATCTGGCGGAAGCTTGTCCGGTCCCAGGACCAATCTAGGCAAGGTTACTCGGCTTTGAGAACCGAAGAGGAGACAGAAGCAACCAGCACGTCGCGTCTTCTGCCTGACCAAGGACCAAACACGATGGTGCGTCGCAGAGCTTCGGTTTTGCCTGACAACTATGCGGAGGAAGACGATGCAGACGCACCACCTGAGCAACAGATTAGCAATCGTCTGGTCTCAGTGGGGCTTGTTCTATCTGTTCTTCTTTGCATCATGACGATCCATATTGTCTTTGGCGATCTTGTCCCGCTTTATGCGACCATTGTTGCTGTTCTCATGGCCCTTCTGCTCAGCATTATGGGCGTGAGAGCACTAGGTGAGACGGACTTAAATCCTGTGTCGGGAATCAGTAAATTGGCGCAGTTGTTCTTTGCCCTTATAATACCACAGTCGCATAAGTCTAGTGTATTGATCAACCTTGTGGCGGGTGCAGTGGTAAGTATGCCATCGAGATGAAGTAAAGCAACGCTAACCATGATGCTCACGCAGTCCGAAGCAGTACGTCGAGTGTGGTTGAAACGCAACCCTAACATCTCTAAGTGTACATCTAACTCGATTTCCAGGGTGCTCTACAAGCCGGGGACCTCATGCAGGACTTGAAGACAGGCCATCTTCTCGGTGCCGCACCTAATGCTCAGTTTTGGGGGCAGGTTATTGGCGCAACGGCTGGTGCTGTCGTGAGCGCTCTTGTCTACCAATTATACGCGGCGTGAGTGTGTCTATATTCCTTGGCCCCCTTTCTACACCGTCTGGGCAGACATGGAAGGCTAATAATTGACTGATACAGGGTCTATGCAATTCCTGGTGATCTGTTCCAGGTCCCGACGGGCTACGTCTGGATCTTCACCGCCAGACTCGTTACCGGGAAAGGTCTGCCACCGAATGCCAGGGAATGGGCATTTGCCTTTGCCATTATTTTTGCTATCACGACTATGATAAGGACAACGGCGACTGGCAAAGTATGGCGGTCTTTTATACCGGGCGGAATCGCAGTGGCTGTGGGTAAGTTTAACCAGGGGTTGATTGAAAAGAACGTAGAGGCGAAAATGGATTCTGACAGATGCACAGGAATGTACAACGTTCCATCCTTCACACTGGCACGGACGGTCGGCGGCTTGCTCAGCTGGTATTGGATCTCGCGGCGAGGGCAGTCCAGCACACCATTGATTGTGCTTGCGTCAGTGCGTAGTAGTCGTGCGCAGTGTGGTGGTTTTGATTCTCGGCTGACGTTGTGTGCTTACTGCAGGGCTTCATTCTAGGAGAGGGCTTCCTGAGCATTGTCAATCTTGTGCTGCAGAGCCTTAGTGTACCGCATTACTAGGTAGGTAGGTCTTCGGTGTGGTTCGGGTCAAGTGGAGGAGGAGACGACAGTAGAGGCGGACATGAGGCGAGTGGTTTGAAGAAGAGGCAAGGGCAGGTGCGTTAGGTTTGAATGGCACCCCCGTTCCAGGCTGAAACAAAAGGAAGCCTACATAAAGTTGGGAAGGCAATTTATTGGGATATGTTGTTTATCGTGTACCTAACTAATAATTACTTGGGCAGGGTACCTAGTTGAAATTGTTAGGGTCGTCGTGTCACGACTCACCTATTTTCGTATTTCATGTGCCTGGCTGGCATGGAATTTTGCAAACTTGCGCCCGAAGAACAACCGGCGTTAAACTGGACTGAACGGGATGGGACCGGAACGGGACAACGAAACGGCAGCCGGTGGCTGGATAGGTAGGTCCAGTTTGACGGGACCAGCGCACAAAAAGTGACTCCAACTCCTACGCATGGTAGGCACGGTGGCACGTTGGCTGCAGCTTCCCTGTTACTGCATTGGCATCCGTAGGCAGGCCCATCCAAGCCTGCCCCAATGAGGCCCACACATTCGGCGTGGACGACGGAAAATATTCACCAGTCACTTTCAACTCAGTCAGCGTTCACTTTGCAACGATCATCGACCGAAGACAAAATTCGACAACCAGGACTGAGGACGTATATTTAAAACACACCCAAGCAAACTACCCTGCTTGGCTTTCACCATGGCGAATGACAAGCTCGACAAGAAGGATCTTCCCGAGTCGGACATTTCATCGGATGAGTCTGACTGGGAAGATGCCGAGCCTGAGGAGGAAGAGACCGTGGACTTCATCTCTTTGCTGGACGACTCCGTTTTCCCCAGTCTCGATTCCATGTTGCAGCATTGCCGCGAAAAGCACAACTTCGATTTCCTTGAAGTCCGTCATCGGCTCGGCCTCGACTTCCTCGGCACCGTAAGGCTCGTCAACTTCGGTGAGTTTCTAGACAACTACGTTCACAGCGCTCACCTCGTGGACATCGGTGGCGTCTTCCTAAACTGACATCGCCGCCGCAGTCCGCCAAAGCACTCACGATGGTGCTCGTCTGCCCGAAATTATTTCTGCCGAGCACATCTCTGATGATCGCTTCTTCAAGCCCGTCATCGAGGATGACGCTCTGATCATGGCACTAACTGAGCTAGACCTTGGCTCTGATTCTCAAAGTGTTCTTCAAGAGGAATTGCAGTCGAAGTCAAGCCGAGAAGCTCAACTTGAGGACGATCTGGAGAAAGTCAAGGCACAGTTCGCCAGCTACCGCTTGGCCGTCGAACAAACGTTGGATCAGCGTTGGGGAGAAGATGTTCCAAACAGGAGCCGTCGGGACCGTTCGGTCGACAAGGAGGCCCGCAAAGACGAGTCCCAGTACTACTGGGAATCATATGCTAGCAATGGTAAGTTCGTAGACATCGAAAGCCTCGCAGAATTTCGTCCTGCGAGGTATGCTTTCAACCAGTTCATTAACACCAATATAGATATTCATGAAACCATGCTCAAGGATACCATTCGGACAGATGCATATCGCGATTTTGTCTACGACAACAAGCATCTGTTTGCGGGAAAGACTGTGCTCGATATTGGTTGCGGAACCGGTAAGCTGTGGACCTAGGTCGCTCTTTGCTCTCAAAATCTAATGCCCAACCAACAATAGGTATTTTGAGCATGTTTTGCGCCAAGGCTGGTGCAGCCAAGGTCTTTGCGGTTGATAAATCGGACATCATTGACAAGGCCCGAGAGAATGTGTTCCACAACGGACTCACTGATCAAATCACTTGCATACGGGGAAGGATCGAGGAAATCGACCTTCCGGTGGATCAGGTGGACATCATCATCAGTGAATGGATGGGATACTGTCTCCTTTATGAAGCCATGCTGCCTAGCGTTCTCTGGGCCAGAGACCGTTACCTCAAGCCTGACGGTCTGCTTGTCCCTAGCGTCTCGACCATCTGGGCTGCTCCCGTGTCGGACCCCGAGTATGTCACAGATTTCATCACCTTCTGGGACGACGTCTACGGCTTTGACATGAAGTCTATGAAGACTGGCATCTACGACGAGGCGCGCATCGAAGTCATGCCCGAAAGCTGTGTTTGCGGCTCTGCAACGCAGATCGCATTCCAGGATTTGCACAGTATCAAAACCGAGGAGCTCGATTTTGAGGCCCCGTGGAAGTCCACCTTGTCGAGGGACATTCCTTCACTCGACGGGTTCTTGGTTTGGTTTGATATCTTCTTTACTACTTCTCGGAAGGACACTGTTCCGGCGAGCCTGCATGTCAAGCCTGGCGAGTCCAGTGGAACCCGCCCCGGCGAGATCGCGTTTACCACTGGCCCCTTCGGCCCCGCCACCCACTGGAAGCAGGGTTTCCTGATGAGCAAATCTCTGGAAGACAACATCGAAGTTAAAGCCGGGACTGATGTCTCGGGCCGCATCGTCTTCAAGGCACCCGAAAACAACCCACGCGCCCTAACCATCGGCAACACATGGACTGTGTCTGGCCAAGGAGAGAAAAAGCAACTGTGGAAGTTGCGGTAGAGGTGTTTCTCGGTTCCGGGATCATTTCGATTTGGCAGGTTGTAGGACATTGAGACCAAGCGGTTACCGTGGGCGGCGTTGGGTTTCACAAGAAGGATTTTGCTGGAATACTAAATGACGTCAAGGCGTATACCCAGCGGCGTTCACGCCTATCAAAAAGTGGACGTTGGGTATGCGCGTATCTCGGTGTCGAATCACAGTGGAGTAGCAGTGGGCTTATTCATGCCAAATAGACTAGGTAGACACGCACAAGCGAACAACACCAGTCTCGCCTTCTGTGACGGACAACTATGTAGACTCGAATATGATACCGAACATTGCCCCAAGACGGTGGAAATCTGCCCATCCCTTAGTAATGGCGGCGCTCTCGACGATACAGCATGCAACTATGTCTTGGTGCCGTTCGCGTCTTCACTTTTGGCGTCGTCCTCGTCATCTTCCTCTTCATCATCTTCATCACTATCCTCTTGCTCTTCTTCTCCGTCGGAGACAGCCTCGCCGAGTGCTTTGAGTTGAGCCTGATGAAATACGAAACAAGAATCATTAGCAAGTGGCCTAGTTCTGTAACCGGAGAACAAACCTTGTACTTGGCAACTTTGTCTTCCAAATCGCCAAACACCATGAGCAGGTCGTCAAGCTCGTTTTGTGTTGCCTGCTTGTCTTCCTCGGCCTTTCGAACAGCCGCCTCTTTCTGGAGCAGGCTCCATCAGTAAATGTGTCTAGACGCGCATACCATGAATAGAACCAACCTGAATGGCCTTCTCCCGAGTCTCCCTGAGCTCACTCTCTAGCTGCTTTCCGCGGCTTCCGGCTTTTTTGATGAGGCCCTCTTGCTCTTGTAGTTTCCTAGTGGAATCATCGCGGAGTGCCTGCATCTCTTGCGTTTTGGTCTTCTTGGCCTAGCATAGGTAAGTCGTAGTCGGGACAACGGACTGGCATTAAGAGTCTTACCTTCATAAGGTCAACCTCTAGTCGACTGATAGTGGCCTTGAGATCAGCCATATCGGCCTCAGCTCGGTGCCGAACGCGTTCGGCATCGTTTTCCGCCGTCTTCCTTGCATGTTCTAATTGTTTGTGATGCTCTTCACTTTGAGCAGCCACCTGAGCCTTAACCTCCTTCTGTATCCGATCCATCTCCTCTTTTTGTCTTTGATCAATCGCCTTGTGCTCTTCATCAAGAGTTGCGATCCGGCGGTCCGTCTTAACTTGGATCTCTGCCATCTGTTTCTTGTGCTCCCTTTCTAGAGCAGAGACGCGGCCTTCTGCCTGGTTTTGAAAATCCGCTAATTGCCTTTTGTGTTCCTTTTCCAGTGCTGCGACTTGAGATTCAATCTGCCGCCGGGCCTGGTCCATCTGCTTTTGGTGTTCTTCTTGTAAGGCCGTGATTTTGTCCTGCAGAGTCCTAGACTTGGGTATCAGTGCCTTCCTCTCCCATCGATTACGGGATAGAGCTTACCGAAGCTCCGCATCATGCTGCCGCTGCAATCCTTCATTCAGTTGCTTCATTCTTGTCAGCTCCAAAGCAGAGCTTTCTCGAGTTCGCCGATGGTCTGCCTGTTCTTGGCCAATCTGCCGGCCGACAGTTTCGATGCTTACCTGTGCTTCCTGCAATGCCTGGTCCTTCTCAGCCAACTGGCTTCGAAGGGAATCAACAAGTTCGCGCGAAACACCCTTCTGCACGCCATTAGAAACAACAGATATCTCCAACCCAGGATCTCGGTCCATGCCACGCAAGATACGGCTGTAGTTGTCTTTGAAAAACTCGACAAAAGTAGCATCGAAATAGACATCAGGCAGCTTGCCGGACCCTGAATTGCTCAGCTTCTGCGGGATGACTTCGAAGTCTCTGACTAACGGATTGCTTCTCAGCTTGGACAGCTTGTCGATATACCGTTCGCGTCCCATTCGGGACACCAAGATGGAGTGAAAGTCTGTGCGCGGAATGGGAGAGTCTTTAGTCGAGAACTCGTACAGCACGCCGAGAAGCATGGCGCAGAGCCCTTGAACGATCTCGCCTGAAGGATACGGATGATTGATTGCTTGAATGATGCTTTGGGTGTTGCTTCCTTCTCCAAGAAAGTCATTGACGGCGTCCAAGTCTTCAAAGAGCCAACCAAGCAACAACATTAGATATCCAACCACCACGCGACTGTCTCCCTCTCGATTCAGACCAGATATCAGGTGTGCGGCGACGATTTGAATGCTTGTGACGACTTCTTCGCCACTTTCTGCGTCGCCCTCTGTAACGGCCATAGCTAGGCTCTTAGCTTCCGGGTTGTCAAAGACAAGGTGGAACATAATGGTTGCAGCAAACCAGCTGCGGTAGGGGTTAGTGATATCGGCGTTTGGAGACGGCCGCAGAAGTACTGTGAGTACGTTGGCTGTCTCGTCCGCGCCTGTTTTGTGACCTTCTATAGCCCTTCTGAGAAAATGCAGACGGATGTCTGCATGACTGTAGAAGTAAGCCTTGAGGCAGTCGGACGCCGCCAGGCGCAAGTCGAATGCCTCGGTATCTTCGACACCGAGTGCCAAATCCAGAAGACCGTCTATCACGTAAACCTGAAAGGCGCTGTTTGCTTGGCTAACTTCGACTGGGGTGTGTGAATCGAGAGGTGAAGGAACTTGGAGCTGAGCGAAGCCTTCTTGTAGACTGGCGTTGCCTTTGATGATATCGGCGCAGGTTTCGAGAGCCTGCAGGCACAAGATATTTAACACGACGGCATCAATGACGTAGCTGACGGGAAACGACCAACCTCTGCTTTGATTGGAAGCTGGGCTACGCGGCTAAACGCAAGTTGGAGAGCATGATACAGCAGGCCGTGCTGCCAGAAAGCAAGCTGGTTTTGCGCTGTTCCCACAGCCCCAGGGACTAGGAATAGGCGCACCACAGCTAAAAGGGCATATATATTCCGATTGCGTTGGTTTTGTGCCCATGCGGCAATCTCGGCCTCCTCCCGCTGGGCCTTTCCCGCACACTCCAGCAAGACGGCCAACCGGCGAATTCCACCAGACTCGCGGAACAGAGACTGGTTGGATGGGTTTCTCCTGAGCAGGTTGGCAACGAGAATCAGACAGTCCTCCACAACACGGTCACCTTCGGACAAGGAGCCTTCGGATATGATAATGTTGAATAGGCGGTCAAATGCATTCTCGAAGGCGACGAGTTTTTGGATGTCAGTCGATGAAGGTGTCAAATAGGTGAGAAGGGTGATAGCTTCGTTCCTGACGGCTTCGCGGGAGTCGTCCAATACAGCCACCAGACGAGATATGCCTAATGGAGCCGTGAAGACGCACTCCTCAGTCCGCTCTGTCCGGGCAGACAGGATGGCAGCTAGGAGTTGCAAGGAGTAGAGTCGGGAGTAAAATTCGCTGGAGTCTAGGAAGTCGAGTAGCAGGGTAATGTTCTCCTGACGCATGGTAAATTCGTCAGCGAGCCAAAGCGCAATTTCCTCCGAGGCCTCTGGGCTGTCTTCGTTGGGGCTGAAAAGCATTAGCAAGGTCTCGAGGACCACCTTGACGGTATCAACATCTTCGGCATCCTTGCTCAAGCTGCCTATGAGACTGCGCAGAGCTCCGGAGGCAACAGAAGCGGGGAAGTCTTTGGCAAAGCTGCGCAGGCCAAGTATAGCAGCGCGACGATCTTCGAGCAAGGTTGCGGAGCTGAGACGGCCACTCAAGACGGTGATGGTCTCGCCGACCGACTGCTTTGCCGGTGCAGTGGAGATGGAAAACATGCTGTCCCTTCAAACTCCAGCCATTGAAGGTTTGCAGCGAGCCCACTGACGACAGGAAAATTGTGCAGAAGATGGCAATAGCAATGGAAGTGGCAATGAGAAGCCAAGTTGGAGTAATCTCAAGTCATAAAAACATCCTCAGTTGAGAAGCTTGAAGCTGTCGTATCGTGTCACCCAGATTAATTGAGTGACTAAAACGCAAGGTGTACTTTCGCATCGAACCAGGGTTACCACCGTTTGTGCAGGTATCGAGGCTTCTTTGCATTTAGAGCGAATATTTCACAGTAGCGAGTACATAGCCTTCACCTGTGCCCTTCAAGGCACCTACCTTACCTTACCTAGGCACCTACCTTGTTGAGGTAGGTAGGTCCCTACTACGCTACTTAGGTACCTATCTACTTGAGTCTTAGGCCTCCTATCTTATCGCAGTAAGTTAGTGCACGGCCAACTCCACCTAGCGCCAGTAGTGGATACTGCAGATGGCAATGCAGAACTTCGGAATCCCGATTTTTGGGACTTTCGCAGTTTGTCCGTCAGCATCCCTAGGTCGCCTCTGTTTATGTCGACGAGCTCCAAACAGTGTCGAGCAGATCACGTCCCTGTCTCCGCCTTGAGATCGCGGATTCCAGTTGCGCTCAGCTTGCTTGCTTTCGGGTTCTAACGCGCGTACGCGTTGAGGCGCCTCGCAGTCCGTCGCGTTGCCAACTTGACAGTCGCTCCATCTTCATTCAGCGCTTGGAGGGAAGCGCATCGCCGAGTTCAAACGCACCCATCACCGCAATCAGGACTTGTCGCATTGGTCGACAAGCTACCTTTTCACCCAAGCTTGTGAGAAGCCTGGCTGAACCGGCTTTCCCTTGGTCTAGACTTCTGATTCCTTGCTTCACCATTGGGACACACAAGAAATCTTTTCAGCTCCATTCGCTCTTCAAGCACTACCAATTTGTTTATCCCGCGCGCAAAGCGTCACTGCTTGACCCAAGACAAGATGGGTATCCCGGCCGCTTTCCGATGGCTTTCCAACAAGTATCCAAAGATCATTTCGCCGGTGATCGAGGAGCAGCCTGTGAAGATGGATGATGGATCTGAAATCCCGGTTGACACCACCGGCCCCAATCCAAACGGCGAGGAACTAGACAATCTCTATCTCGACATGAACGGCATCGTGCATCCTTGTTCTCATCCTGAGGATCGCCCAGCTCCCAAGGACGAAGAGGAGATGATGCTCGAGGTATTCAGGTACACAGACCGTGTTGTCAATATGGTTCGGCCGCGAAAGCTTCTAATGATTGCTGTTGGTACGTCCTGCCTCCCTTTTCCGCGTTGCGTCCATTGCGAGTCTCTTGCAACAATATCACTGACCTCTACTGGCTAGACGGAGTGGCTCCTCGTGCCAAGATGAACCAACAGCGCTCGCGACGTTTCCGATCCGCTCAAGACGCTCAGCAGAAGGAGGAGGACAAAGAAGAGCTCATGAAGCTCCTAAAACAGCAAAATGGCGGCGTTATCCCAGAAGAGACACTTGAGAGTATGACCAAGAAGGCATTTGATTCCAACTCCATCACACCTGGGACCCCTTTCATGGACATACTCGCTGCGAGCCTCAGATATTGGTGCGCATACAAGCTCAGCACGGACCCGGCCTGGGCTAGGCTCAAAATTATCATCTCAGATGCCACAGTACCCGGTGAGGGGGAGCACAAGATCATGTCGTTTGTTCGGTCTCAGCGTATCTCGCCGGACTATGACCCAAACACGCGCCATGTCATCTACGGTCTTGATGCCGATCTGATTATGCTGGGTCTCGCAACTCACGAGCCTCATTTCCGAGTCTTGCGAGAGGATGTCTTCTTTCAAGACAGCAAGCCGAGGGTATGTAGGATTTGCGGGCAGAAGGGTCACGAGGCTCGAAATTGCCGCGGCGAAGCCAAGGAGAAAGTTGGCGAGTTCGATGAACAAGAAAAGGCGCCAGCACTGAAACCCTTCATCTGGCTGCATGTCTCAATTTTACGCGAGTACCTGGCTGTTGAGCTCAATGTTCCTGGCCTGCCTTTCCGTTTTGATCTGGAGAGAGCTCTTGACGACTGGGTTTTCATGTGTTGTTTCGTGGGCAACGATTTCTTGCCTCACTTGCCTGCACTGGAGATTCGCGAGAACGGTATCGACACTCTGACAGCGATCTGGAAAGACAACCTCCCTCATATGGGTGGCTACGTCACTAAAGACGGACACGTTGATCTTGCTCGGGCGCAATTAATCCTCAACGGACTTGCAAAGCAAGAGGACGGCATCTTCAAAAGGAGGAAGGAACAAGAAGATCGCAGGGAGGCCAACGCCAAACGTCGCAAACTTCAAGAAGAGCGTAACCAACCAAGGAACGCTCGGCCAAAGCAGGTTGACAACGCTGCTGCAGGCTTACCCCTATTCCCTGCTGCAGGGGGTCCTAATGGGATCACTCACGACATGGTCGTTGGTCGATCATCGAACATGAATGCTAACTCCGCCAACAAGAGTGCAGCAAGCGCCATAAGGGATCAGATCAAGGGCATGATGTCCAAGGCCGAACCTATACCAGAAGGCGATGCAAGTCAAGCTGCAAAGGTCGATGCCCCAAGCGCTTCGACGGACGCGAAGTCGATTCTTGGCAAGCGCAAGGCTGATGGTGAACCTGATCAGCTTTCGACTCCTACCCCTGCGGCGGGGACAAGCACACCATCTGCGGCCGAAGAGGCGGCAATGGACCATGTGAGGATGTGGGAGGAGGGCTACGCGGACAGATACTATGAACAGAAGTTCCATGTTGACCGCAAGGACATTGAGTTCCGACATCAGGTTGCCAGAGCGTATGTTGAAGGTCTGTCTTGGGTCCTGCTCTACTACTTTCAAGGCTGTCCATCATGGGAGTGGTACTACCCTTACCACTATGCCCCCTTCGCGGCAGACTTTGTGGAACTGGACAAGATGGAAATCGCGTTCGAGAAAGGGCGAATTTCCAGACCTTTTGAGCAGTTGATGAGTGTGCTGCCTGCGGCATCTCGCCACGCTCTACCTGAGGTCTTCCACGATCTCATGTTGAACGAGGACAGCGAGGTCATTGACTTCTACCCTACTGACTTCGAGATTGACTTGAATGGCAAAAAGATGGCTTGGCAGGGAGTGGCATTGTTGCCATTTATTGAGATGCCCAGGTTACTTGCTGCCGTAGAGAAGAAGTACCCTCTTCTTAGTGCCGCAGACCGGGCCAGAAATGGAGTGGGCAGGGATGTCTTGCTGCTTTCGGATGCTCATCACGATCTGTACGATGAGATCACCACCAACTTTTACTCCAAGAAGCAAGGAGAACCAACATTGAAGCTTAACCCGCGTACGAGCGACGGGTTGTCTGGCAAGATTGAGAAGATTCCGGACTACCTACCCCACGGCGAACTAGTATATCCTCTGGAGCGCGGCGGCATGCCCAATCTTGATTACGACAGGTCCCTGAGGTGCGTTGGTCACAACGAAACTAGCCACATATGGCTTCCGTATCCTGCACAGCAAGCTAATACATTTTACAGCGTCTGGTATTCCTTCCCGGCGAGCTCGCACCCTCACAAGTCTATGTTGCTGCGTGGCGTTAAGTTGCCTACAGCAGCTCTCGACCGCAATGACATCGAGACGCTCAAGAGCAAATCATCTCGGTCAGGACGGAGCTACGGTGGTGCGCCACTGGGGCATAATGGCCACAACCGTGGAGGGCGCAGAGATCAGTTCAGTTACGCCCCAAGCGGCGGAAACGGACGGCATTCGGGCAATGGCAACTACATGCAACACGGGTATGGCCCCCCTGGACCACCGCAGGGCCAGTCATGGCAGCCTCCACCACCAGGTCACCCGGGCTTCGGGATGGGACTACCGCCCCCGCCCCCGCCAGCTTTCCACAACTCGAATGGATCCTCTCGCGGCGGGGGATATGGACAGTATCAAAGCTACGGACCTCCGCCCATCCAAAGCCAGTATGCGAATCACAATGACGGAGGTCGTCGTGGTGGGCGCGGCGGGTATCAGGGTGGGGGGCACAGAGGTGGTCGCGGCGGCGGCGGCTTTGGTGGGGGTTACGGCGGCGGACGCAACCACAGGTAGTTGAAGTCACATGCAATTGTAGCTATGCTGGGGTGTGTCGACGGAAGCGTTTGTGTGAAAGTAGAAGAAAACGGATGACGAAAAGGGATGAGGAGCCGCCACTGCCGAAGTCATGCCATATGTCAGATAGTATGAGCTCCAGTAAAAATGCAGAGTTGCACAAGAGTTAGGCTTCAATGTGATGATATGTTTGGACGTAAGATCATATCTAGAATGAATATCAAGGTCGACGACGGATGTGTGGCAGGTTGCTGCTATGGTGCTACCTCGGCGGAGGGCGACTTGGTCCGCAATTGACTCTGCTGTTGGAAGGCACCGGCGCCGGCGATTGGGTAGTGCTAAAGACAACGTACCTACTTGGCGGAAACTGAAGACAAATTCCTACTCTGAGGTTTGGGAGAGAAGGGATCTAAAGCAGGCAGCTGATGGGACTGTTCACTCCAAGTTGGTGATGCCTTTGTGGGCGCCACTGCCAATTTTCGTACGAAGTTCTCAAGTATGCCCAAAGAGGATTAGACCGTGTACCTCTGGCGATAGCCATGTAGCTAGTGTGTTGCTCTCAGCCTCATTGTCGGCTAGAGGTGATGTTCCTCTCCCCTACAGGAGTAGGCCGAGTTTCTGTTATTACCCCTCCACGATCTGAAATCCTACCTCATACAGGCACACAACTGCTATCAACACCTGTCTCACACCACGGGCTAAAGAGCGGTCGTGCTGTTCCCTACCTTATGCAGCGCGTTGCGCGATTCGAATCGCACTGTTACAGTGTACCCACCTTGCGCTGCAATCCACTTTAGCCAATGCCCCCGCACTCGCTGGTTGTCTCCCTACTCCGTAGGCAACTTAAGGTACCTAGGTAGGTTAAGCACTTACAGTGTACCTGAGGTAAGGCAGATACGCTGTCAAACCCCTGCCTCGGCTGACTAGCACCTCACTACCGGTAAGGTCTTCGAGTCTACCTCTATCTTACGGATACCTACCTCGCAGCCCATCGGTCAGGTAAGGTGCCCAGGTCACGAAAAGCACAGTCCTGCATCCTAAACCTCAGTTTGTCCGCCACAACGTCACGGCTGAGGTAGCATCCATATCTGAATACCGACTTGCGTGCCCATATTCTTGTCCTCAGCATCACCACCGTCGCCGTCAGTAACGCACCGACCGCACGCCACACTATCGAATTTCAATTGGCCTTTGCCATCCTCGCTCCTCTTGTTGGGCGTCGATATTTTTGAAACCCAGCTCTCGTAGCGCCCCGCAACCGTCTTACTTCCACACTCCGAGGTTCAAGATTGAATTGGCTTGTCTTCAGTCAAGCCGGACGAAGGAAGGGAAACTAAACCGGCGCAGGCGCGTGCGGTCATGAACCCGACTGCCTCGACTAGCAGAAATGAACGGCGATGCTGGTCTCGTCGGGTGCCTGGTTGACAGACTTGCTACCAGGGTGAGTTGTTATCGCTGTGAAGATGCGATTCGGCCGTCCATCTTGGGTCGACTTGCCTCGCCTCCTTCTCGAGTTCGCGTGACTGACCTTGTATGGTGTTTGCGCCTCCACAGCTCCCTCACAGGACAGGAACCCACGGCCAAGAACTTCAACAAGACGACATCGTCATCATCACAAGGTCCACACTTGTTAAGATTAGCACTACCGCTGCTGCCTCTGTGCTGGACTCCCTCGTCGCCCTCCTCGAAGATATAATTCGAAACTACAAAGGGCTTCCTCCGCCTACTCATCCTCCTCACGTCCTCCTCTCCGAGATATACATACTAGCCTTGGCTGCCGACTGCTGTACCGCCCACTGGGATCATGTCAAGTCGCAGCAACGTCAGCCTGCCGTTGATTCGGGGACGCGTCGCAACTCTCCTACACAAGCTCCTGAGCCCTTGGACGAAGCTCTCGTTACCCGCATCTTTGAGTTGCTCAAGTGGCTCGTGGAACCTATACCTGAAGGATTCGCCCTCCCATCATCCACTATTTTAGACGATGAAACGAGACAAACCGCCAACCCAGTATTCAGCCCTCCAAGCGGCATCGCTTCGCCGCTGCTTGTTGGAACCTACAGCTCTGAAGACGAAACTCTATCCACTTCTCATCTGGCGATCATGGAGCCTTGCATCAGAGTCATTGTCGAATACGTTACCGCCTCCACTTGGTCAAGCTCTTTTGACTACTTCAGAAACGTGGTGTACACGGTTCGTACTGCCGCCGTTGTGCAAGCGGCACCGGGGCAATCTGCTACTGCCCCAGATGACGACAAGGCGGCTCTGTCCGTTCTCAAGATTCTGTCCTTCTTTTGGGTGGATGCACAGAAGCTGGGACTCATCATCCAGGAGATTTGCTCCAGCTTCCTCCATTTTCGGAAGACGTTCCAGAACACTGTCGCTGTGGTGGCACCCCTTCTCATCACGCGCTGGTTAGAACGGTATCCCCATGAGTTTGTGCAGCAACATACACTACATAAACGTCTCGACGGCGGCGCTGACACACTTTTCGACATGACACAGACTGTTGTAGATAATGGACGGAAAAAAGGAGTGCTTTATCCGCTCCAGACCACCCTACTGTTTCTTCTGCCAGACGTTTTTGAAGTGGCTAGCAACCTGCGAGATGCGAAGAGCGGGAGCATGGCCAAGAAGGTCGGGTTTCTGGACGGCTTGCGGAAAGCATTGAGGAACAAAAACGAACAGGCGGCATACTCTCTCGTCTCTTTGCTCAGAGCTGCTCGACACTTCGTTGCTGAGGACGACGCTGCGCTCGTCAGCTACGCCATGGATGTACAAGACGAGGTCAGAGAGGCAGTTTTTCGTCGTGGTAGCAACGATGCCTCTCTTCTTGACCAGGACCTAATGACAGCGGCATTTGTTAGTTTAGCACAACTGAGTCCGGACAGTTGTGTTGATTCTCTCCAATCATATCTAAGCCCTTCTTCGCCACAAGCCTTCAAGACCGCCGTGGTGCAGGGCTGCCGATACTTTGCGCGCCAAGCCGACTCGTATAGGTACGAGCAGATATTCGCGGTGGCGGGGCCGTATATGCGAGCTCAGCTGAAGGTATGCAACTCCGGGTGTCCATTCCCACATTTCTGCTCCCGTAAGACGTCTTGAGGACCCGACTTAACCGGATCGCAGGCCGTAGCGGACTTGCCGACAGAAACCACTGCCACTGTACTTGCCATGCCCCGGCGTGATTCAAACCTTCACTCCTCCACGAACATGGCGTGCGACGTGCTCAAGTTTCTTGATGCGTCCCCACACTCGCTTTTCAACGCAGATGGATCCGGCGAGCCAGGTGCGGGTGCTGCAGAGGAAGATGCCTTCTTGTCCTTCCTATCGTGCGTTGTGTCTGTAAATTCAACTGTTCGCAGACTCGCTACTGGTGTTGCGAAGCGCCTCCTCTCTGACAGCACCATTCTTGACACAATTAAATCTCGCAGCAGATTGAAATCCCTAGGTCTTAGGCGTGAATTTTGGAGACGATGGTAAGGCGTGCATTTCTGTTCCCGTTTGAGTGTCCATATCCAGGCTAAGTTGCGCCGAATAGCTCTCTTGTTCTTCTCAATATGTGTAACCAAGTCACATCTGACGGTGATGGGCCTGAGGTTAAGGCGATTCACGAATTTCTTGAAGCACGCAAATTTCTACTCGCTTCTCTCAGTGTAAGTAACGCAATGATCATTCCAAATCGCGAGACTAACACGCCGTTTGTCTATGCAGGAACTTGCGGAGTTGCCCGATGACGTGCCTGAAGTAGAAGCCGCGTCTTCTAGACTCGAGACGACCTTGCTTGTATCTCTGTGTTCCGCAGACGTTGACACCTGCCAAACTGTGACTTCATGCATCGGTATTTTCTACGAAGAGAACAAACTTGCTGGCGTCTCTTCGGACGCTGCGAAGACATTTGCCACATTACTCCGAAACGGCGAGGTGTATGGGGAGATCGCGTCACGAGCCTTCCGCTTCACTGGACTGGTTGCCTTTCAGAAGAGAGTTCGCGGACTGCTCCGACGACTGCAATACCCAACCAGCGGTATCCTTTCAGCATGGGAGTATGGCTTCGAAAGGTGGCTTCTTCTCTCCAGGGAGGTGTCCATGGCCGCGCTTGATGCGGTTGACGAACGGACTTTGACGGAATGGCGCAATTACTCCGGCTTCTTGGCATCGCTCGGGGGAATTTGTACTGCAAACCAAGCAATCATCATGGAAGAGCCAGCCATCAGTGGTCTAAGGTGGATCGATAGGCTGCCATCCGAAAACCACGAGGAACCTCTGCTTGGTCGATATCTCAAGTTGAGCATTCAACTACTCGGCTGTGCGAGCGTCAGGATTAGGGAGGCTACAAGGGAAGTCTTGTCCAGCGAAGTCTCGTCCACACTCTATCAGTCTCTGTTCAGAGCACTAGAATCTGAACTCGAGGTCCTGTTCACCGGCGCACTGGCTCCGAGCGACAAAGCCCAAGATGTTGAGATCATCTTCGCTGAGCAGGCCATATCGCTTTTGAAAGCTTTGGTGGAGCGTCTTGAGAGCCCTTCAGACCTTGGTGCAGCCTCCTCCATTCACCTAGGAGCGCTCGCTCTCAACTTTGCCAAATTCTTAGACGGCGTCAATGACAGTACCAACACCTTGCGCGTCAAGATCAAGGTGTGCCAGTTGTGCGAGGCTGTCACTAAGAGGAAGGAGCATTTAAATCTGAGAGACGACGTGCGCATCCGGAACCAGCTTCTTGAGTACATTTTTGGCTGGATTGCTCGGCCCCGCTCCCCGCGACTTGACTCAACAGCTAGCACAGGCGGCCGCCTAGATGAGATGGTGAGGGTGCAGAAAGACCTTGATAGAGCTTCTCTCAGGTCACTAGCTGAGCTTACCTTTCGTCTTCCACTTCAACCTGGGGAGGGTCAAACCGACGCCGGCATGAGTGAGCTCAAGTCACAAATGTTTCACACCTACTTCAATCGGTTCCTATCATTGCTCAACCACGAATCTCCCGAGAGTGGGAGGAGCGACCATCCGGCTGGAATTGCAAGCCGAGACGAGGGCACCCCGACTTCAGAACTTGCCATCACCATTCTCTCGAACCTGCTGAGTGCGAATATCGATGTTGGTCTGAAACACTCTCTAAATATTGGTTATCACGACAACGTCGAAATCCGGACGGCTTTTGTTAAGGTCTTGTACAACATACTCATACAAGGGACGGAGTTCAGTAACCTGACTGACGCTGCTGTGAGCGAGAAGTACGATGAGTTGCTAGAGGTGTGTGAATCCAGTTGACTCCATCAAATCTCATACCCTCCCCTCTTTCAGAAAGAAAACCTTCACCAGTGCTGTCTAACACCTGTTTTAGTTATTAACCAAGGACATGACGCTTGTTGCCGCTATGAGTGCCGTGTGTCCAAGCAGTGAAGTCGACGAATTAACTGTATCTTTGCTCACCATTTTCGAGCATCGGGGCCTTAGCTTTGAGTTGTTGGAGGTTCTCATCAAGCAGGAAATCGAGGAAACAGGTAAGACTGCGGATGTTGACTGCATCATGTGGGGTGTGAGGCTGACTGTACACCTTTGGGCAAGATAACGAATCCGAGATCCTTAGGCGAACCTGTGTCGCCACGAAGATGCTGTCCGTCTACGCGAAGTGGAAGGGACAGCCATATCTCAAGGCAACGCTGCAAAAGGTCGTAGAGAGATTGATGCTTACATCAAAGGATCTAGATCTCGAGCTGGATCCTGCCAGGGTCAGCTCCACAGATGAGTTGCAGAAGAACGCCCTCCAGCTACGGATTGTGGCTAAAGTATTCATCGATGATATCTGCGCATCCTCGACGAGCATGCCAGCGTCGTTCCGCAAAATTTGTAACATCGTATGTGCGCCAAGCTGCGCTGAATCTTCCAATTTCCAACGTCTGACACGAGGTTACCAGATATCCACTGCTGTGCTGCCGAGGTTTCAGGAGGCCAAGTACACCGCCGTTGGGGCTTTTGTCTTCCTTCGCTTCTTTTGCCCAGCAATTGTTGCCCCTGAGGTTGAGGGCCTAGTGACAACGACGCCCTCTAAGGAGATGCGCCGAGGCCTGCTCCTGATTGCCAAGGTCATTCAAAATCTGGCGAACAACGTCCTTTTTGGGGCGAAAGAGCCTTACATGTTTCCTCTGAATGACTTTCTCACGCAAAACATCTATCGAGTTACTACCTTCCTTCGCGAGATATCTGTAGGTGACCCAAATTGTCCTGCGCGGTCTCTAGCTGTTCCCGCTAACTACTCATTACAGGTGGCTCCAGAGACGATCGACAGTCCGCCAAGCATCGAGTCGTTTGATTTCGGTTCCTGTGTTGCCCTCCATAGATTCCTCTACGATCACTGGGACCATATGCGGCAGAGGCTCGTCACCCAGGAACGCAAAGATTATGTGCGATCGCCAGCCGAGGTATCTAGAGGAAGGTCGCCGGTTCTTGAGCCTTTGCGCCACCTCATCACGAACCTTGGACCCCCACCACTCGCTGTCACCTGGAACAGGCCTCAAATTTCTACGAATACTCCACCATCATACTCCCGCTTCCAGAACTTCATGCTTCGGAACGCATTCCGAAGTACTGAATCTTTTGTGACTGCTAGAGCCGTCTACGATGGAGGCGAGAGCAAGGTGTGTCATCCTTCAGGTGCATCTGTTAATTCGCCCGTCAACTAATAGGCTCGCCCACACAGGATTCCCTCTCCATTATTTGCATCATACTGCGACACATTGATGCAGAGAGCATTGACTATGACACGCTGTTGTACTGCTATCTCAAGGTACGTTGCGGTGAATCATTCGCCTCGCCGATTCTTGCAATGCTAGCTCCAACAGCGTTGGCACTGATCATTTCTATTCATCTCGAGATGTGCAAGTTACTCGTTCTCGATTCTTGTGACTGACTGCCGACAGATTGCAAGCCGCCTCTGGCACAAGCCTTTCGGGCTGCTCATCGATGCCACATGCTACAACGGCCAGAACGAACCACAAGATGAGCTCTTCAAGAAGCTTGAGCTTCTCACACCTGTCGAGCTGTCGAGAAATCTCGTTAGGATATATGTTTACAACATGAACAGCGCATTCAGGTATGAGCATTGCCAAGACACTGGATGTCACTACTGACACACGACAGGAAATGCTTCCGAAGGCTCCTTCGGGTGTCCGCCAAGAGCGACACCAGCGTTTTTAATCCGAAGAATGTCGATTACCACCTAATCGGTAGTCTGCAGGACCTCCAGGCTCATTTTCACTTGAGTCAACTTCACCTCCCCAAAGAAACAATCAGCGTCGTCACCGACACACGTTATGTGTTTCAACCAATTACCCGACTTTCCAAGACTAAGGGTAAGATTGAAGTTGTCATCAAAGTTGGCAGCCAGTTCGTACAAGTGACAACCACAAAAAAACAGGAGGTCTTTCCTGGCTATAGGTTGAGCACGACCGTCAATGACATATTTCGTCTCGGTGAGGTGGAAGAGGCGCCGACTTCAATCCAGACAGAAGATGACTCTGCGTTTGGCCTACGCGCTGATAACGGAAAGATCGTCATGTACTTTACCAGCCCCAAGAAGGCGGACGTATTGCAGACGATTCGCGGCGCAAAGGCCAAGTATGGCAAGGATACGAGAGCTCACAAGGCCTATGAACGGCTTATCCGCCCGCAGGACGTTCCCGGGACTCTACTTAACCTGGCACTTACCAACCTGTCAAGTTCCGATCACGTGCTCAGGCTCTCTTCTTACAACCTGCTCGGGGCCCTGTGCAAGGCATTCAAGTTCAGCGCTGCATCAAATTTGATGTGTACAAAGGGTAAGAATATCAATATGCTGTGATGCACGACTAAATCCCCAGGGCTACTTCAGTTCGCTTGAAACACTGCTAACCATTGTGTACAGACGTTTCCGTACCAATGGATCCTTCACATTTCATCATCAAAATCAGCAGGCAACTGGCGATGTCTGAGCCTCAGCTGACGTTCGATTTCTTGACTGAGTTCTTCGTCGGCTGGGAGACATTTGCTGAGGAGCAGAAGCATCTCAGTCTTGCCTATATGTCACCATGGCTTCCAGGCCTTCGCACAGCCGTGCTTGCCAATGAAGCTGACGCGGAGAAAGGCAAAGAGAAGGTCGCGGTTCTTTTCCGAAAGCTGATAGACGTGGCCATGACCGATCATTCATTGACCTATACGCTGGAGCAAGTCGTATGGCCCGCCATTTACCAAGACGAGACGGTCCTGGATATTTTCCTTGAAGAACTCATGCGGTCAGCTTTGAGTTTCAGCTACTCCGAGGAGCCCATGGAGGCTCTTTCTTCTATAGTGTCGGGCATGGGCAGCATCACACTACGTGGGAAGGTCATTTCCCGGTTGCGAAAAGCACTGAACCGATCTTCCCTCCGACCGACTAGGTACTTGCCTGACAACGCCGTCTGGGCAGAGATTTGTGTGCTTCTACACTTCTGCCTGTCCTTGTCGTTTGATAATGGTGTGCAATCTCAGCTTTATCTACCGGAGATCTTTCACATTGTCACCATACTGGCAAACACTGGCGCTCCAGAAGTGCGTCTCTTGGTTCACAGACTTCTTGTCAACACAGTTCATGCGGCGTGTACGTCGTTCAATCTGGACGACACCCGTTTCAATAAGCTCAGGGGAAGCTTGGATTTCCTAAGCGAACCAAGAAGCGAAATATTCGCAGCACCACCTCCGTTCCTGCGCGATGGTGCTTCCATGTCGACTACTCAAGACTCAGGCCCGTCGCTGGCTGCGACTGAGAACCTGGCTGCGTTGCTCTTCGAGGTCTGCTCTGTGGCTGCCCCATCAGTGGACATATCCAATGCCTGGAGGTCGCGCTGGATGAGCCTCGTGGCCAGCACGGCCTTTCAGAACAACCCAGCAATACAACCCCGCGCGTTCGCTGTCATGGGCTGTCTGGCACGTGAGGAGGTGGACGACGACCTACTCTACCAAGTTCTCGTCGCACTGCGCAACAGCGTAGGTCGTCTAGGAGATGACACCAACAGTGACATGCTCATTTCCATTGTCACCTCTTTATCCAAGATGATGGCAAAGTTGCCTTCTGCCTCGCGTTACGGATTACAACTCTTCTGGCTTGCCATTTCACTGTTACGGTTGGTTCCTCCAGCTCTTTTCAACTGCACGGCCCAGTTTCTTGAGGCTGTTATGACCAACATTAGCACAGTCGGGGACTTGCGAGGAGACAAGATGGGGTCGCTTCTTCTCCAAGGTCGTGTGCAGTTAGAGGACGCTGCTCTATCTCTGGACGAAGCTTACGGCATTCACTTCACGCACGAAAATTTTCATTTTGCCGTGTGCGCCTGTCTGGCACGCGGCCTCGCCGACACCACTACCAAAACCAACGCGATGCGAGTGCTATCCGCATTCCTCGATATGGCCGGCAACTCCACAGATGAGGCAGGAAGACCATCGGACATCATTTCACGTTCGCCCTACATGGCGCTTATCCTAGCGCGAACTGTTGGAAGTGAGGAGCTGAAAGACAGCCTGTGGCTGGCGGGTATCAATCCTTCCGTGCTGGGTGATGTAACGAACACACGCAGATACGAGGATTTGAGTGGCATGAAGGACAAAGATCTGCTGTTGAACACCGCGATTGAGTTGATCGATTTTCAGTACCTAGAAGACGCACTGCAGAACCGGACTCTCCGTTGGCTGACTGAGCTTGCGTCAGCAAGGCCGGCCGTCATCATGCATCTGTATGTTCCCCTACCCCTTCCGTGTGACTGGGCATTATAGCTGAACCGAAGTAGCTGCGGGCCTATCGTCCCCATTCTTGACGAGGTTTTGCTGCATTGTCAGAACTCTGCAACACTAGAGTCAGCTCAGGCACTCCTCCACGCTTTGACTTCAAATCCAAAATTCAGCTCCGCGCTAGAATCAACTGCTGTTCTTAACGAGATCCTTGAGGATATGGGTTTTAGTGGACTGTGGCGATCCTGTTCTTTCAATTTCAGCCAGGATCAAGATCGCAAATGCTTTATGCTGACTGAGAAGCTGATAGAGGTAAATTACCTAAAGGTTTATTAAGAAGTTTTTTTGCTAATAGTAATCTAGCTTATTATTGTTTAACTTATTTTGGAATTAGGAAAGTATTTTTAAATAAAGTAAATTATTTATTTAAAGATATAAATATATTTAAAGTGTTTTAACATAACGTGGTTCATCAGTCAGCCGGCCGGACCAGTCAGCCGGACGTTTTTTCCCACGTACACAATAACATCTAGTATTTCTCAACCACAACGCATTAAATCAACTATTAGTTGTCGCTATCAGAATCTCCTAAGGGTTCGACATCTTTGGAACAGGTTCGCGCGTTATGCCCAGTCTCACCACACATACCACAGCGTCTCCGAGCTGGCTGGGCTCTCTTTGATGGACCCCCCTCGTCGTCCTCTTGAGGTGCTGGACGTTTCCCTTTTTGTTTCCCTCCAAGCAAAACCTGAGATTCCTCTATACTAAGTGCCCCTCCAAGCTGGACCCGCGTTCTTTTAGCCCTCC